TCTATTCTATATTTTATAGTATTCTATATTCTATTCTATTCTCTTCTAGTTTATTCTATTCTACATTCTATTCTATTCAATAAATTGCCGGCAGGCCTGGGGGTGATGAGTTCCCTCCCCTCTCGACTTGAATGGCTGTGCGATTGTTGTCGTCTTTTATTGTTTGTATTTTGGCTTTTATGTTCCCCCTTTTTTTCCCCTTTGAATTGTTCGCCGCCCTGAGTCCTCCCGGAGAAGGGCGGCATACAAATAATAAAATACCAATACCAATACCAATACCAACTTCAAACGGTCACTAAATGAATGATTGTAAGTCTACTTGTATCTTAGAAAACGTTTTGTGTCAACAATGACGACTTGAAGAACCTGGGGATGACTTAGTCCCCAAATGCCAATGGTGGTGACCTAGCAATCCACTTTGTCTTCCATTATTTCTCTTCAGAACAAACCATCAACATTGTGAAGGAACTGAGAGACGTGGAGGTAGTGGAACCAGCCGAAGCACGCTTTGAGTGTGAAATCTCCATCCACTCAGTGAAGCCGCCCAAATGGTCTCTCCGTGGGGAAGTGCTACAGAAGGGCCCAAATGTCATCCTAGAACAAGAGGGGAAAATCCACCGGCTGATCTTGAGGAAAACCAATGTGGACATGACAGGCACCATCCAATTTGCCATTGGCAAATCCAAATCCTTGGCTGATCTGGTAGTCAAAGGTAAGTGCCAGGTTTAAAATAGCCATGGAAGACTGTGGGTGGTGGTAGTGGTTAGACCTGAGTGCTTATTTGGAATGGAATCAAATGAAATTGAATGGAGTGGGTGGGGTGGGAGAGGAGAGGAAAGAATAAAATATAATAGAACAGAATTTATTGAATAGGATGGGATGGGATGGGAAGCGGTGGGATGGGATGGGAGAGGAGAGATAGAAAAGAACAGAATGTAGAATAGAATAGAACAGAACAGAATTCTGAATAGGAACAGAACTGAGAATAGAATAGAATAGAGAATAGAATAAAATAGAATAAAACATAATAGAATAGAATTTATTGAATAGAAAGGAAGGGAAGGGAACAGAACAGAAAAGAACAGAATAGAATAGAATAGAATAGAATAGAATACAGGTAACCCTCGACATGACCAAAATTGACCCCAAAACTTCTGAAACATTTGTTAAACGAATCTTGCCCCATTTGACTACCTTTCTTGTCATAGTCATTAAGAGAATAACTGCAGTTGTTAAGTTAGTAATGCAGTTGTTAAGTGAACCTGGCATCCCTTCTGACTTTGCCTGTCAGAAAGTCACAAAAGAGGATCACGTGACCCCAGGACATTGCAACCATTATAAATATGAGTTAGTGTCTGAATTTTGATTACGTGGCCCTGGGGATGCTTCAAGTGTGATAAATTGTTATAAGTCACTTTTTTCATTGCCATTGTAACTTTGAACGGTCATTAAATGAACTGTTGTAAGTCAAGGACTATCTGTAATAAAGTTGGAAATGACCGTGAAGTTCTTCAAGTCCAGTCCAGGGGTGTCAAACTGGTGGCCCGTGGGCCAGATGTGTCACATGCAGGCCACACCCATCCCTGCTCCATGAAGGAAAAAAAAAACATTGCAATACGTCACGGCAAGATGACATCACAAGTTTGACACTCTTGAGGATCCCACAGTTTAACCCTTAGCTACAAAAATTCTCCTGTATCAGTAGAGTAAATAGACTCAATTCAGATTTGATTTGGTAAAAGACTGAATAATGAAACAGATCAAAATTTTGATAGCTGCCTTATTTTTTTTAATCAAACTGGAAAGTATTAGTGATGGCAACCTCTTTGAAGAGCATTAACTAGGCAAAGTTTTCCATGGATAATTTCAAGGGTTTTTTCAAGATTTGGAAGATGCATCTCTTTGAAACCACAGGGGAAGCAATGGAAAATGATAAAAAGAAATCCACTCCAAAACGTTATTCCTCCAAAAGCAATAATTTCTCAGGTTATGAGCCTCCATGACTTTAAACTGTGTGAAATTCTGGGGAATTGTAATTGAAAAATGTTTGGAGGTGCCCAATTCATAAAATTATGGAACCACAATGATTCTAATTGGAAGAGAACGATTCACAGTTTAATTTAGTCTTGACATGAATCCTCTTGGTTCGAAGGTGTCTTCCTTCATATTTTCTCTGTAGACATTCCAGTAATCTTCACCAGACCTCTAGAAGACAAAACAGTCCTGGAAACCCATTCAGTGGTTCTCTCTTGTGACTTCAAGCCATCCCCAAAGGAGGTTGAGTGGTATAGGAATCACACGTTGCTGGAACCTTCTGAGAAGTTTAAGATGAAGAGGGAGAAGTTCACAGCAGAGCTCAAAATCCTGAGGTTGACCGTTGGGGATACAGGTGTCTACCGATGCAAAGCTGGAAGTGCAGAGACGAAAGCCACATTGACCATTTTGGGTAAGTTGATGGAATGGGACCTTCCAGGATTGACCTTATGTAGGAGGCCAAAAGGGGTGGACTAGAACTCACTGTCTCCTGGAGATTGGCCCAAAGTCTCCCAGCTGGTTGTGATGCCTAAGGTGGGGTTAGAACCTAGATTGACCCTAGCTGACTTTCATGCCTAAAGAGGGATTAGAATCACTTTTCCCAGTGATTGGCCCAAAATCACCCAGCTGGTTTCATGATTAAAGTGGGGCTAGAATTCTCAGTCTCTTGGGTGATTGGCCCAAAATCACACTGCTTCCTAAGAAGAGGAGAACCAGTAGCAGAGATTTTGAATAGTTCAGAGAACTGGCAAATGCCACCTCTGACTGGCCTTGCCCCCATCTATTCTCTGCCTCCCGAATCCCAGCTGATTAGGAGAAAATGGGGATTTTGCCGTATTCTTTCCCTGCCACGCCCACCAAGCCATGCCCACAGAAGCGGTAATAAATTTTTTTTGAATCCCAGCATTGCTAAAGCAGGACTAGAACTCACCTTCTTCTCATGATTGACCCAAGTTACCCAGCTGGCTTTCATGTCTAAAGTAGGACTAGAACTCACCATCTCCTGGTGATTGGCCCAAGGTCTCCCAGCTGGTTGTGATGCCTAAGGTGGGGCTAGGACTTAGGGTCTCCTGGTGATTATCCCAAAGTCAGCTAGCTGGCTTTCATGGCTAAGCTGGAACTTGAACTCATGGTCTGCTGCTTTCTAGCCTGGTGCCTTAACCACGAGACCAAACTGGCTCTATGTGTGTTACAACGTGTGGAAGCAGTGACCAAGCTGTGTATGGAACGGAGCAGTGTCCTCTTGACTTCTCCTTCCTTGCCATAGAACGCAAAGTGGAGATCACCAAACATCTGCAGGATGTGGAGGTTGACGAAGAGAGCTTGGCCACCTTCTCCTGCGAGTTGTCTGAAGATTGTGAGGATGTTGAATGGTTCCTCAATGATACCCACCTCTTCCCCAACAACTTCAATGAGATAAAACATTTGGGCAAGTCCCACAGCTTGACGCTGAAGCATGTCACGCCAGAAGACAGTGGGACAGTGACCGTCAAGGTTCAGAAGAAGATTTCTGAGAGCACCCGGCTGAAGGTGAAAGGTGAGTTTCTACTTCTTCTTCCAGGATTTTTGAGATCTGAGGAGGCAGCTTAGTGGCCTATTTCCATCTTGGCAAATGTAATCCATGGGCACACCTTAGGAGAGCTTCAGGCAGGTGGGTCCTTGGTACTCTCTGAGCTTGGTTGTTTTCTTGAAGATGTTTCATGACCCAATTAGGTAACATCATCAGTGCTAGAAGGGAATAGGATTTACAGAAAAGAGGAGGAGGAAGAGAGGAGGAGGAGAGGGACTGTGGGGTCCTCAATGCTTTCTGAGCTTGGTTGTTTTCTTGAAGATATCTCATTACCCAATTAGGTGATATCATCAATGTTAGAAGGGAGTGGGGTTTTCAGATTGGAGGATGGGGAGGAAGAGGAGAAAGAGAAGCACTGTGGGGTCCTCAATGCTCTTTGAGTTTGGTTGTTTTCTTCAAGACATCTCATTACCCAACTATGTAACCTCATCAATGCTGAAATTGAGTTTATTCTCAATTTATTTATTCAATTGGCTTGCCCTATCAGTGTTGGTTAGTGTCAGATCCTCTCCATTAGATAATTAGGAAAGAAGACCANTAAGATGGAATGTCGGTGCCGTTAGCCTTGGCGGGAACCTCCTCCGCATGCGTAGTCCGACAGGCAGCAGAACTCCAGAACCTTCCTCCAGCACAATTAGTAAACCCCTTCCCAAATACCATGCCCTCTCTCTCCGTTTCATGGCAGCCGAAGCAGCAGCAAAGCAGAGGCTGACAGTAATGCTACAAAAAGTTTAAGTGTTTTTTTCAGTGCATTGAATAGTCATTAAACAAGTGGTTGTAAGTTGACTACCTAATAATGTCTTTTCTGTCTTTTCTAAGTGTCTTCTTACCTTATATCTAAGAGTGACCTATATTTTACTTAATGCACAAGTAAAATATATTAATTTATCCTTGCTTCTGATGCTATTTTGGCCAGAGGCGGACTAGGCTAAGAAACTTACCCTGATATATGGCTTACATTTAAATTGCTTACATGTTATTTCTCCTTGGCAGAATCCCCTGTGAAAATCATCACACCTTTAAAAGACCTCAAAGTTCAGAACAAGGATGATGTAACTCTTGAGTGCGAACTTTCCAGGCCCAATGTGGAAGTGAAGTGGCGTAAGGTATTGAATTTATTAAATATAAGCCGTGGACTTCTCTTCAATGTCTGAAGTTGCTGTCTTGTAAGACTGCATCTACAGCTTCATGGGAATACAAGTGGTCCTCAACTTACAACAATTCGTTTAGTAACTGTTCAAAGTTACAAGGGCACCGAAAAAAAGTAATTTATGACCGGTTCTTACCCAACCTTTGCAGCATCCCCATGTCACATGATCAAAATTCAGACATTTGGCAACTGGCTCATGGTGGTCGCTGTGTCCTGGTCCCCTTTTGCTACCTTTTGAAAGGCAAAGTCAATGGAGAAGCCAGATTCACTTAACAACTTTGTTGCTACCTTAACAACTGCGGTGATTCGCTTAACCACAGTGTCAATTCAGGTTGTAAAATGGAACAAAATTCATTTAATGGTGTCTTGCTTAGCCATAGAAATTTTGCGCTCAATTGTGGTTGTAAGTCGAGGACTCCTTGTATCTCAGGACCTATCTCAAAACTTGGACCAGTAAAATTATCTGTCAATAAACTCCTCTGTGGACTTCTTGATTTCAGAACGGAGTGGAGATCCGGCCAAGTAAAAAGATGTCCATCGCTTCCAGAGGAACAAAGAGAAGCCTCATCATTCATACATGCGAATATGAAGACCAAGGAACATACATGTGTGATGCGGTAGATGATAAGAGTTCAGCTGTTTTGGAGATCCATGGTACAAATTCCCTCCCTAAATCCCTAAATTTGTTGGAGTCAGGTTTCTCTTCTTGGAATCTCATCAGGGGTGGGTTTCAACCGGTTCGCGGCGGTCCCTGCGATCCGGTTGGTCACCGAACCTGGAAGTAAGTAACTTCCGGGAACGGCGAAGGCCCCCCCCGCGCCTGCGCGCCTGCGCGCGCCCGCTCCTTACCCAGTTTCGCCGAATTCTGCGCTTCCACGCATGCGCAGGACGCATACAGCGCCTGCGCGATCCTCCAGGAGCAGCTGGAGCATCGCACAGATGCTAGTGCGCATGCGTGCGCGCCGCGCGCGTGCGCGAGGACGCCGCCAGCCTCGTTCCAACCGAACCGGTTGGAACGGGGCGAAAAACCCACCCCTGAATCTCATCCAAGGAACGAGAATTTAGCAGCTTTGATTAATAGTATTTAATATAAAAGAAGATTACAGTAAATCACAGTAGAATTCCTTTTAGACACACAGGTACATTTGTTCTTCCTAAATGTATTCCAAAGTGTTGCCCAAAGTGCAGGCCTAGAAATGGTGAGTTGTAGTTCCACTTTTGACATGAATGCTGGTTGGGTGATTTTGGGCCGATCACTAGGAGATGGTGAGTTCTAGTCCCACCTTAGGCTGGATGATTTAGGCGAATCACTAGGAGATGATGAGTTCTAGTTACGCTTTAAGTATGAAAGCTGATTGGATGACTTGGACCAGTCTTTTTCTTCCAGCCCAATCCACCTCACAGGGTTGTTGTTGTTGTGGGGGAAAGGGGAGGAGAAAGGAATATGAAGTATGTTTGCCACCTTGAGTTATTTATGAAGAATCAAATAAATACATGTAATTTCAGGAAGCAAAATTTATTTGCAATATTTATTTATACTTTATCAACATAGAATGGAGAAAGTTGCCTTCTTTGTGGACAATCAGGATAAATTACACCTGTTTATTGGGCACTGGTCTTTGCATCAGTGTGAAAATATTCCCCCCCCCCCCCAGTTTTCAAGATATTCTAGCTATTTATTTATATACAGTGCCATGATATAGATACTTGTTTCATTATGCAGTTAGTCCTTGATTTACAACCATTCACTTTGTGACTATTCAAAGGTACAATGGCACTGAAAAAAGTGACTTATGACCATTGTTCACATTTCTGACCATTACAGCATCCATATGGTCACATAATTGAAATTTAGATGCTTAGCAACTGACTTAAATTTATGACAGCTGCCATGTCCTGTGAAGGTCCTTTTGCCACCTTCTGATAAGTAGAGTCAACGAGGAAGCCAGATTCACTCCACAATCATGTTACTAATTTAAGACCTGCAGTGATTTCACTTAACATCTGTGGCAAGAAAGATCATAAAATTGGGCAAAACTCTCTTAGCAATTATCTCAGCAACAGAAATTTAGGGCTCAATTGTGGTCATAAGTCAAGGACTACTTGGATTAGAAAGTTGGGTCTAATATAAGGAGTGCAGATCAGATTCAAGAATGTTTCCATTTCATTTATTATAATTACTATAATTATATATTATTCAAGTTTACCTTAAAAATCACAATATATCTCTGCTTTTTTAAAGCCAGTTTCATTCCAACTCTTCTTGAAGCAATCAGTGAACACAGATAGTCCTGGACTTACAACCACAATTGGGGACAGAATTTCCATTGCTGGGTAAGGTGGTTATTAAGTGAGTTGTGCCCAATTTAATAATATTGCCATGGTTGTTAAATGAATCACCTTCCCAGCTCGCTTCTGACAAGCAATTTCAAGGAGGGAAGCCGGATTTATTTAATGACCATATGATTCACTTAACAATTACAGTTTCACTTAACAACTGTGGCAAAAAGATCCTAAAAAGAGGTGCAACTCATTTAACAGCTGCCTCACTTAGCAATGGAAATTTCGGGCTCAGTTGTGGTCTTCAGTCGAGGATAACTTGTAGAGATATAATAAGTTCATACTCAACTATAAACAATTTCTCTGCCCTTCCTGGTGTTTATCTAACTAAACCTCAAGGTCCATTCCTTACTATTCCCCCAGGGTTTTTCCCCCCTACTGATAAAACTCTGTATAAACTTCCCCACACACTAATGACAACTACAAGGAACACAGACTCCTTAACCTTAAACAAAAATGTCTCATTTCGATTCCTTAGCCCGGGACATCAAGATTGTAAAACCATTAGAAGACGTGGAAGTGAATGAAAAAGAAAGTGCTTCTTTCCTCTGCGAGATTTCACATGATGACGTCCAAACCCAGTGGTTCACTAACGAAAACAAAATCCGGGCTGGAGAGAACATCAAACTACGTCAGGAAGGTAAGAAGATAATTGGAAAGTGGTGGTCTCTGAGTTTGGTCGTTTGTTTGCATGAGCCAACTAGATAATGTCATCCATGCGAGGGAGTGTGGAGTTTACTTTCTTTTTACCTACAGCTGCTAAAAAGAACAGTGTTGGTCGGGTATAGATTTTTTCCCCTTGGCAGTCTTCTTATTGTTTTCTGCTTGATTGCTTGTCTGTGGTTAATCCCTGCTTAACTGGGTTTCTCTTTTATGGTCCTTGGTGCTGTCTGACCTTGGTCGTCTGCTTGCGGATATCACATGAGCCAACTAGATAACATCATCTATGTGAAGGGAATGTAGGTTTGCTCCCTAATTATATAAAGTAGCTTGCTTTGCCACTGTTGGTGAAAGCATGATTTTCTCTTTGGTGGTTCCTTGATTAAGGTATTGTTTTCTGCTTGATTGTCTGAGGTTAATCCCTGCTTATCTGAGTTTCTCGTTCTGTGGTTTTCTTGCTACTCTCTGAGTTTGATGGTTTGCTTGTACATGTTTCATAATCCATAATAATATTAGGATGTTTATGTTTGATGATGCTAAAGGTCTTGTTGCAGGATGTAGGCTAATTCAAGTTAAATCACCTTTTGCAATTGATTGATGGCCATTGACAAAATTCTTGTCGGTCAATTGCAAAAGGCAACTTTATTCAGAACAGCTTCCATGCTATGATGAGAACAACAACATCTACCATGTTTCCCCGAAAATAAGACAGGGTCTTTATTTTCTTTCGACCCCCAAAATAAGCACTTGGCCTTATTTTTGGGGAGGTCTTATTATTTTTGAGGTGCAGGAGGTGGCGAGTGTGGTCACCTCATGA